TATATCCTTTTATGTATGTGTGTTATTATGGGCTTCTCACATTTCAGAAAAGATTTTAGTATCAGCTTGTCAATTTTTACAGAAAAAGTCACTGGGATCTGGCAGGGCCTGAGCGGAACCTGAGTATCTCTTTGAGGAGCACTGATAGCTCAACAGTCAGTCTTCTGACCCACAAACTGTGATCTGCTCCAATCTATACAGGCCTTTAGTATTTTTTGACAATGTTTTGTAGTTTTCCATTTACAAGTTTTATGTTTCTATTCTTTCTTTCTTTCTGTTTTTTCCTTTTGGCAGTACTGGGGTTTGAACTCAAGGCCTTGCACTTGCTAGGCAGGCATCTACCACTTAAGCCTCATCCCCTGTCTTGCTTTAGTTATTTTTCAGGTGGGGTCTCACATTTTTGCCTGGACAGGTCTGGGCCACAATTCGACTTATGCTTCCCACATAGCTGGGATAAGAGGCACATGCCACCATGCCCAGCTTTTTTTGTTGATATGGGATTTTGCTTTTTGCCCAGGCTGGCCTTGAACCTTGATCCTCCTGATCTTTACCTCCTGAGTAGCTAGGATTACAGGTGTGAGCTACTATGTTCAGTTTTACATTCCTTTTGCTAAGTTTATTTCTATTTTTTGCAGGGTGGTGGTGGTTTTCTTTTGTTTTTGCAGGGCTGGGGATTGAACCCAGGGCCTTGTGCATGCTGGGCAAACAGTCTACTTGGTTTTCTGAGAGAGGGTCTTGCTGTGTAGCACAAGCTGGCCTTGTATTTGTGATTTTCCTGGTTTGGCCTTCCAAGTGTTGGGATTACAGCTGGTCCACACCTGGCTTCTGGAGACCAACCAGCAACATCAGGACGGCTGGCTTTGCAGGCATGCTCAGTTACAATGCTGACACCATTCCACACTGTGTTGTGTGCAGGTGGCATTTACCGCACACCAATAGCATCTGAGGGTGTGCACGTCCACCCCTTTGTGAGCCAGCCACTGGACAGAAGCAGTCTTTGAAATATACCAAAGAGATAAGAAAAAAACCCACGTTACTCTGTAATCAGAACAAAATTCAACACAGTGACCACTGGTATCTTTGGACTGCCACGAAGGAAGCACCACGCATGTGCAGGATGCAGAGTTCAGTGTCTGGTGCAGGTGCCGACTTATCTTTCCCATATTGCCACCCACTGGCACCAACCTAACACTCTCACTTTATCATGTACAACAGGCACAGTAATTTTACCTGGCTATTTGCTTCTTGGGAAGCATAATTTCACAAAATGAAGAGCAGGGAAACACTCAGATCACACAATGATTCAAACACAACTGACAATAAGGCAGGACTGACTGAGAGGTTCTTCAAATTAATTGAGTTGTGTAATGCATGTGTGGGAATTAAAAATTTTTGATTTTGAAATGTCTTCAGATTTTTAAAATTTCCCTTTTTGACTGTGCTTGGTCAAATCTCATGTAACTGATTTGTGAATATGGTGGGCTTCCTGTGAGTCTTTTTCTCTATGTACATACAGACCGTTTTCAACATATGTTTGCAGATCACATAGCAGATGTGAGCTCTATAAGCCAACGCAGAGAAGGCTGTTTCACTAAGCACAGGTAAGCCATGTCCAGGCCTGTAGGAAGTCTAACGGTGAGCTGATAAGCACAGAGGCTGCAGAGCTGCCATTACGGCCATGGCTCTAGACGCTTAGCTGCATCACACAGGTGCGTGCTACTGTCTCATTGGTGCAATTCTGTTACCTCAGCAATTTAGGGTTTGGAGCTCTTCACTCATTCTGAGGTCCCATCTCAGCCCTAGAACTGTTTATAGTTTACCTGTGAAGCAGGCTAGTAAAAAAAAAAAAATAGTTCCTCATGCATTGTATTACACAAACACACCATGAGATGATTAGTTAAGATTAATTAAATAAAGGATACCCTTATGCATACATCTGGAAAAAGCAGGAACAAAAGCTTTTTTAAAATAACAAGATAGAACATGCCCCACTCCCTTTTCTAAAGTCTAGAAAAGTTCTTTAATTATTGTGAAGAAAAGCCTCTTCAGTTCTAAGTCTGAGGCTGTGGTTGCCCCAGCACCACAGACAACAGCAAACTAGCCAGTGTTCACCTCAGGCTGCAATCAGTGAAAACTTGGTTTATGTGCTCAGCAGGGCCAGAGAGAAATACTCATTTGCTTATTTGGCAAGTACTTCCTGACTCCTTCTGTGTGGCGGGAGTCCTACAAGACCCTCCTGGGCAGTCTTGGGGCTGTGTCCATGCTGTAGGCTTCCTCCGTGGGTGGGAATACTCAGATGTGCCCCAGAAGAACACAGAGGCACTGTATCAGCACTGACCTGAGAGGCTGGTGTGGCACCAGCCAACAGCAGACACTGGCCTTGGGTCTGCACAGGAGCAAAAACCAATGTGCTCTGGGTGCAAAGGCGCTCCCTTTGTTGTATGCCTCACGCCTCTGGGAACTTCCTCCTACCACCAGCTGCTGTGTACTTGAGGAAGTATGCTCACTCTAGTGCTTGGAAAGGAAAGTCAGTCCTCAGGAAAACATCAAATGCACATTTAAGTCTAAGTGAAACACACTTTGGATCATCTGTGCTATTTTCTTCCTTTTATCACAGGAAGATGATGGGAACAGTCAATCTTCAAGGACTTCAAGGAAAGCCACTCATTAGCATCCTAGGAAGTCACCATCACTGCCAGCCACTGCGGTCACAGTGAACAGGAGAGCTGACCCTCAGGCTTCTTGCCCACACTTCACCTCAGCTGCCACAAGCAAGAGACTGTATTCAGACACCAAACTTCTGTTAGTATTAAACCAAATTCCATTTGACTCCTAAACAGACCACAGTGCGGCTCTAAAGGACAAGCCTGTCCGCCGCCCAGGGCTAATTGCCTCCTGCATCTGCTTGCTTACAGCTGGGCAGCTCACCCACAGTGCACAAGTGATAGCAGTCATGTTCTCGTTCCTATTTAACCAGAAGGTGAAGTGATCAGAAGAGAGCACGTCCCCCTGTGTGGGGACAACATGGCTGCAGCCATCTGGAGGTAACTGATGAGGGCAAACCCCGCTGGCACTGGCACTGGATCCTGGGCTTGGTGACTCAGCTCATCCTGCACACCTGGTGATGTGGGGGCTGGTTTCAGTTCCAGTTTCATTTTTTTGGGCAGTACTGGAGTTTGAACTCAGGGCCTTGCACTTGGCGGGTAGGTGCTTGACTGTTTGAGCTACACCCCCTGCCCCTTTTTGCTTTAGTTTTTTTCAGACAGGGTCTCAATCTTTTTGTCTGGGTCTGTCTCAAACTGCAATTCTCCTAATTATGCCTGCAACATAATTGGGATTACAGGTGTATAACACACCTTGCCTGTTCTTTGAGTTAGGGTCTTGCTAACATTTTTTTGGCCTGGACTGGCTTCGAACTGTGATCCTCTTATCCTCCACTCCAATGTAGCTGAGATTACAGAAATGTACTACTCCCTGCCCTGTTTTTGTAATGCTTCTCCCCTCCCCTAATTAAAAAGGTATCTTGTGCTTTGTATAGAAATGGGAGAAGACAGAAACATGAGGAAAAACTAAATTCAGTGTCATCATAATCACATGGTTTGTGATCTACACTTAAGGTGTCTACTTCTAGTCTTTCACAAGCATAAGGGGTCATGCACAGCACATAAAACTTTTGTCATGAGCATTTCTGTATGCTACTCATTTTTCTTTCTTTTTTGAGACAGGGTCTCCCCATGCAGCCCAGGCTGGCCTTGAACTCATGATCCTCCTGCTTCAAGTGCTGCAGTTAAAGCTGGGATTTCAGACATGTACCACCATGCCTGATTACCACTGATTAATTTTAAAGCCTAATTGTTTCATAGCTCCAATAATATCTCACCAAACCTTTCCTAACTTTTTAACCATCTGGCCTCTGCTAGACATTTAGGTGGATTCCAGTTTTCAGTATTATCAGTAAATACAAAGAGCATCCATTCTCTGATTATTTTTGAGGGATAGAATCTTAGCAGAGCAATGACTAGGTTAGAGGGAATGGCTGCCTAAGCCCTTTGATACTTATGGCCAAACTACTTGCTAGAAAAGCTGGGCCATGTCACCCTTGTGGCTCCGTTTAAAAATGGAACAGAGGGCTGGCCGAGTGGCTCAAGTGGTAGAGCACCTGACTAGCAAGCATGAGGCCCTGACTTCAAACCCCAGTACCATGAAAAATTAAAAAAACAGCATAAAAATGGAAGAGAGATCTCCTCTCTATAACGAGAGCTTCATGCGGTACCTAGAACCAGTTTCCTGCTTTGAACTCAGGGCTTTGTGCTTGTTAGGCAGGTGCTTTCCTGCTTGAGCCACTCTGCCAGCACTGCTTTGTTTTACTGATGAAAATCATACTATACTTGCTGTAGGGAAGAGGAAAGCAAGAGAAAGCTGTAATAAATTCCAAATGCTTTTCACAGAAGTGATTTAGACATCTAGCTCAACACACAAGTAAGAGAAGTTATGGTCTTTAATCCTTGCCCAATATGCAGGAAGAGAGGAAGGCTTTCTAAGAATGTTCTCTAGACCTATGGGGAAACCTAAAACTGAATATCTACAGCTCTCTCAGAGAGACGGATGTGGAGGCTGTATAAATAGGGTGCAGCTGCTGGGACCTCCTGACCTATCTGCTATACTGGGGCAGTTAGACCTGGAAGACAGTTGCACCAAGGGAACCAGATGTGTTGGGACTGGCGCAGCCAGCCTGGCCTAACAGTCTCCCGTGCCAAGTCACCAAGTGTGGCTGGAGGAAGTGATACATAATGCTGGCAAGTCCTAGAAAGGCAGTCTTTTGTTTTTCCTTTGAGAGAAGGAAAGCAAGCCTCTGCCTCATTGGCTCTGCTATCTTACTGTTGACTCTCCAACCACAAAA